CCCCCCCCGCACAGTAACCCCGAGCTCGGCATCGCTGACGCCCCTCTCGGCGCCGTGGTCGATCTGGACCTGGCCTGTGGACCGCGCACCCTGGTCCCCGGGGCACCGGCCGCGCCCGAAGTCTCCCTCGAGCAGTACACCTCCACGGTGACCATCGGGCCGAACTACGTGGTGGTCCCGCTGCTGGGCATGCCGCACCAGCACGCGGTGGGCCCCGGCATCCCGGCCAATCCGCCCGGTACCGTGGGCGCCGTGCTGGACCGGCTGGCGCGCATCGGCCGCGCCCTGCCGCAATACCCGCCCACCTTCGCCGGGGCGCTGGCCACCGCCGGCGGTGATGGCGACGTCGATGATGAGGACCCGGCTTCGGGCTCGGATTCCACCGGCACCATGACGACGGCGGCGGCCGGCTCGCCGCCGCCCCCGAGCCTGGTCCCGGCCGACGTGCGGTTCTTCGGCGTGGGCCCGGTTTTCCTGCCGGAGCTGGCCGAGTCGGCCGTGCGCGCTGCCAGCCTGGGCCCGACCGACCGGATGCCCACCATCCACGACATTGAGGCGCTCCATGCGTCGGCCCTGACCGGGAGCCATCCGCATGCGGTGCCGCTGGCCCGGCTGGTGGCCGGTGCCCGGGCCATTGTCACCCTGCGCCCGGCGGCCGGGAAGCCCGGTGCCCGGGTGGTCAAGTGCTCGGCCTCGGCGGCCGAGCAGTCGGCCGTGTGCCGGGCCATCTTCAGCGGGCTGGACGCCCGGCACTTTGGGGCCGGCTGCCAGCCGCTCATCGACGAGGAGACCGGCCGCGCGGTGCGGTCCATCGTGGTGTTGGATGTTCGTCTGCCGACCATCCCCGGGCCTGGGGCCGGCCCCGGGGCTGCCCCGGAGTGGCTCATCACCGAGGAGGAGTACGGCCTGGACTTTGACCGGGCCCTGGCCACCCTGCCGCAGGACCTGGGCTCGACGGACTTCTTCGAGCTGCTTGTCCATGTGGGTGCCATGTCGGTGACCAAGCGCCGGGCGTGGCTGGTGGAGCCGGAGCCGGCCATGGCCGCGACCCCCGGCGCTGGTGGCCTTTCCCCGGAGGAGGCCAGTGTCCTGGCCCACCGTGAGGCCGTGGACTTCGCCCGGCAGACGACCTGGCTCGAGTGGGTCACCTCTCGGCGCCTGCGGGTGCGTCGTCTTTCCCGGGGCTGGGGGGCTGCTTTTTTGCGATGTTGCCTTTTTCCTTTTGCCTCTCCTCCCTCTCGCGCCCCGGAGGAGGGGGCGATGTGTCTCCTTCCTGCCATGCTAACCTCGCGCGCCCTTGTCTTTCGCTGTTCCGGACGATCGCCTCTCTTGCTCTCTTCCTCTCTTCCCCTCTTCCTCTCTTCCCCTCTTCCTCTCTTCCCCTCTTCCTCTCTTCCTCTCTTCCCCTCTTCCTCTCTTCC